ATTATTATTATTATTATTATTATTATTATTATTATTATTATTATTATTATATTTTTACTTGACTTTGTACCATGAAAAGCATGCCCTGCCTTACAGCATATTCTGAGATATCATATGGGCCATTTAGTCCACAGGAATCAATTGCAAACAGAACTGACCCATTGAGAATCATAAGGCTAGAGCTCTAGAAGATAACTGACCTGCTCATCTTTACTTGGTTAGGAAGAATATATAGCTTAGTAATGTAATTCCACTGAACTAGAACGATTCGTTAGGGAAAGAGCTGATAAAATGGAGAAAGTCTTTCATCTCAGGACTTAGCCTCTGTATCCTTCTCAAGTTCAGACAAGAAATCTGGGTGCTACACATTGTCAGTAAGGAGTGAGTAAGCTTGAACCAGATTTTCAGTTGTTTCCAGGATTTCTTCATTGGGCCTTCACACAAGAAATTAGAAATGTACTTAGTTTTTATAACTCTATTACTGATATCTCTTAAGAAAAAAAGACATGCACTCATTGGCTCTACCCCTGTGAAGAAGACAGCTCTCACTGGATGGTTTCAAAGGATGTTATTAAGGAGTATATATGAAAGACATGAGGAAGACTGAGTCTAGGCTGTGTGTTTAATGTGGGTGCAAGATTCTTAAATGAGACCTCCACATTATATCTGTTGACATTGTTCTTATGGCTTCAGGTCTGAAATTAACTGTGTCAGTATGTCAAGGGATGACAGACATGGGTGTGTTCAATGGACTTGTGTTGAGATATCTGTATCATAATGTGAATGGAAGGATGTACCTTGATCTATGGAAGTGTTTCTGAAAATGAATGGAGATGGAGATGGTGTAGAGGACCTAAGGTACTTGAAGCAATTGAACTCTTGCCTTCAATACCACTATTGCAGTTAAACAAGATAACACTGTTACAGGTAGAAAAAAAGGCAGAGATGAGGTTCTGAACCTTGAGCACACAGGTAAAAGAAACTTCAATTTTGCTCACACACTGTCATTTAAAACAACCGTGTTTTGTACATTGTGCATTTAATGGACACAATCGTTGTCTCCCAAATAACTCCTCATACTCATGACCATTCTTCACACTCAATTCATACTCGTTTATAATGATATTTGTTGTAGACTACATTCCATGTTTAATTGAATTTGAATTTAGTTCAGAGGAGAAGGAAACATTTTCAGAAATACTTCCACTGATTAATGGATTCCCTCCATTCACAGTGTCATACAGACATCTCCACAGGTGCCAATGGAACAAATCCATTTCTGCCATCCCTTGACACACGGACACAGGCACACTCAGCTGTGGATATTGAAATGTCTTTCAGTTTGTGAAGAAGTATGGAAACATAATTAGCCTGGATTTTGGTAACATCCCTTCAGTGGTCATAAGTGGATTGCCCTTAATCAAAGAAGCTCTCACTCACACAGAAGAAAGCTTTTTGAGTCGCCCAGTTATACCTACCAGAAAACGTGTCTTTAAAAATGATGGTAAGTTTAATCAACAGCACTCTTGACTTCAGGTGGTTATTTAAAACAATACATGAATTTGTATGGAAAATGGACACATATTTGCAAAGAGCTGGAGGGAGGGAGTGAAGAAGGGATATGACCAAGATTATTGCACATCTATGAAAATTTCAAAAGTGAAAAAAGTTGGTAGGGACTGAAACACAATCAGTCTCTGCTGGCCCTCTGGGCCTAGGTATTTTGGCTCTGTTGTTCTCCTTGTGGGTTTCCTGTCCCATCAAGGTCTTTCTATCTCCATCTTCTTCCATAAGGATTCCCTGCACTTTGCCCAAATTTTGACTATGAGTCTCAGTATCTCCTTCAATAACTGGTGGGTAGAGTCTTTCAGAGATCCTCTGTGGAAGATCCTTGCCCTGTTCCTTGTCTTCTCCTAGTTCCGATGAAGTCTGTGTTTTATAATACCTCTTCTCTATTTCCTTTCTAGCATTCATATAAAAATATGCCTTGACTATCCATGAGTACATTCCTGGTACTCCTTGATATAAATAGCCTTCCATGTCTAAAAAGCAAAGTGGGAGTTTTAGAAAGATAAAAACTTGACTTTGAACAACTACATATTGTCTTTCTAAGTTTACTTTTCAATTTATTCTTATGCCTCAGTGTTTCACTAACTGAAATAGACATTTTCTTAGGTGGTAATAAACGTATAGAGTTCCTCTCATAAAAAAATTATATAATAGATAAGAAGTTATTATTAAAGTATGAGCTGTTCAATCTACAGATTCAATGCAATTCTCATCAAAATAACAACAAAATTCTTTACAGACTTTGAAAGAAAAATTCTCAATTTCATATGGCAAAACAAAAAAAACCCCAGAATTTCCAAAATGATCCTGTACAACAACAGATTGTCTGGAAGTATCTCCATCCCTGATCTCAAACAGTACTACAAAGCAATAGTAATAAAAATTGCATGGTATTGGCATAGAGGCAGAAAATTGGATCAATGGAACCGAATAAAAGGCTAAGAAACAAACCCACACACCTATGAATACTTGATTTTTGACAAAGAAGCCAAAACCACTCGATGGAAAAAGACAGCATCTTCAACAAATGGTGCTGGTCCAACTGGATGTCTACATGCAGAAAAATGTAAATAGATCCATATTTGTCACCCTGCACAAAGCTAAAGTCTAAGTGGATCAAAGACCTCAACATAAAATCAAACACATTAAATAGGTTAGAAGAAAAAGTGTGGAAGAGCCTAGAACTCATTGGCACAGGAGACAACTTCCTGAACAGAACACCAACAACACAGGCTCTAAGAGCAACAATCAATAAATGGGACCTCATGATACTTAAAAGCTTCTGTAAAGCAAAAGACACTGTTGTCAAAACAAAACTACAGCCTACAGACTGGGAAAGGATCTTCATTAACCCTATATCTGACAGATGGCTAATATCCAATATATATAAAGAACTCAAAAAGTCAAAAAGCAACAAATCAAGTAATCCAGTTAAAAAATGGGGTATGTAAAAAAATCTGAGCACAGGGGTCTGAGACTGAAACTCCAACCAAGTACCATGCATGGAGATAACGTAGAGCCCCTGCACAGATAGCACATGGCAATTCAGTATCCAATAGAGTTCCATAGTAATGGGAACAGGGACTGCCTCTGACAGGAACTGATTGGTCTGCTCTTTGATCACCTAACCCTGAGGGGAAAACAGCCTTACCAGGCCACAGAGGAAGACAATGCAGCCACTCCTGATGAGACTTAATAGGCTAGGATCAAAAGGAAGGAAAAGAAGACCTCCCCTATCAGTTGACTTGGGGACAGGCATGTGTGGAGAAGTGGGAGGAAGGAAGGGATTGGGAGGGGAGGAGGGAGGGAGGGAGCTAGAGGGGGATACAAAGTGAATAAATTGTAATTAATTAGAAATTTTTAAAAATTAGGGTATGGAGCTAAACAGAGAACTCTCCGTGGAGGAAAATAAAATGGCAGAGAAACACTTAAAGAAATGCTAAACATCCTTAGCCATCAGGGAGATGCAAATCAAAATGACCCTGAGATTTCACCTTATACCCATCAGAATGGCAAAGATAAAAAACTCAAGTGACAACATATGCTGGAGAGGTTGTAGAGAAAGCAGAACCCTCCTCCATTGCTGGTAGAAATGTAAACTTGTACAACCACTTTGAAAATCAATCGTGTGCTTTCTCTGACAATTAGGAATAGTGCTTCTTCAAGATCCAGCTATGTCACTCCTAGGCATATATCCAAAATATGCTCAGGTAAACAACAAGGACATTTGTTCAACCATGTTTGTAGCAGCTTTATTTGTAATAGCTGGAACCTGGAAACAACCCAGATTTCCCTCAACGGAGGAATAGACACAGAAATTGTGGTACATTTACACAATGGAATACTACTCAGCAATTAAAAACAAGGAAATCATAAAACTTGCAAGCAAATGGTGGGACCTAGAAAAGATCATCCTGAGTGAGGTATCCCAGAAGCAGAAAGACAAACACGGTATATACTCACTTGTAAGTGGATACTAGACATATAAGATAGGATAAACCTAATAAAATCTGTACACCTAAAGAAGCTAAACAAAAAGGAGGACCCAGGGTAAGAAGAACAATTCTTAGAAAGACAAATGGGATGGACATTGGAAGTAGGAGAAAATGAGAAGCAGGATAGGAGCCTACCATAGAGGGCCTTTGAAAGACTCTACCTAGCAGTGTATCAAAGCAGATGCTGAGACTCATGGTCAAACTTTGGGCAGAGTGCAGGGAATCATATGAAAGAAGAGAGAGTTAGTAAGAAGTGGAAAGAAGAGAAGCTCCACGAGGACCAAATATATCTGGGCACAGGGGCTTGTCTGAGACTGATTCTACAAACAATGACCATGCATGGAGATAACCTAGAACCCCTGCACAGATGGAGCCCATGGCAGCTCAGTATCCAAATGCCAGGGACTGTCTCTGGCATGAACTCTGAGGCTAGCTCTTTGACCTCCCCACCCCCTGTGGGAGGAGCAGCCTAGCTAGGCCACAGAGGAGGCCATTGCAGCCAGTCCTGGTGAGACCTGATAAGCTAGGATCAGATGGAAGGGGAGGAGGACTTCCCCTATCAGTGGACTTAGAGAGGGGCAGGGAGGAGATGAAGGAGAGAGGGAGGGTGGGATTGGGAGAGAATGAGGGAGGGGGCTACAGCTAGGATACAAAGTAAATAAACTGTAATTAATGTAAAAAATAAAAATTTAATTTAAAAAAGGGTGAGCTGTTGCAAATCACCCAAACATGTTAGTCACTTGCTTTGGGATCATCTTTAGAAGCTGTGAATTTCCATATCTGCCCTTCATTTCATCTGTACATCTGTCTAATAGAGCTTTTCAGTTATTTTACAGCCAGAATCATAATACCATAATATTATTTTTCAGGGATTGTCTTCTCCAGTGGACAGACATGGAAGGAGCAAAGACGGTTTGCACTGATGATGCTCAAGAACTTTGGACTAGGGAAGAAGAGCTTAGAGCAGCGCATACAGGAGGAGGCCCTCTACCTTGTGGAGGTCATAGGAGAGGAGGAAGGTGGGCATTTCACAGGGTGGTGCAGGGTGCTCTGGCCATGTTATTCATTAAACAGATTCTTATTGTCTCAAGCTTGTTCTTGTACCTCAGTGTGCTGGGCACTGAGGATTGAAGAATAAATATCTAGCAATGTACCTGGCACAGGAGTTCTGCAATTAAACAACATAAAGGGCTCCTTAAACAAACTACTGAAATTAAGTCTGTTTATCTATGTGATGTCCCAAATAGTGACAAAGTCTTTCAATCATGTCAAGCCTATGTAGGAGGCTGTGGCCACAGCCTTTTGTATTATTCTTTACTATGCATATTTTATGTCACACAGAGTAGAAACTTTATAAAAGAAGGAAAGATAAATAAAGGGAGATAAGAAAGATAGAGAAAGAAAGATAAAAGGGAGGAAGCGAGGAAGGAAGGAAGGATGTAAAGAAAGGAAGAAAGAGGAACAAACCAATATCTTTGAAGACTCCTCCCTCCTCCTGTCTCCACCTCCAGGACAGCCTTTTGATCCTCACTTCAAGATCAACAATGCGTTTTCCAACATCATTTGCTCCATCACCTTTGGAAAGCGATTTGAGTATAAAGATGGTCAGTTTCAGGAGCTGATGAAGTTACTAGAGGAAATCGTGTGTTTGGAGGCATCAGTAATGTTAATGGTAAGGTCCCTTCCCCTGCATATTTTGAGAAAAATATTGGATTGGGGTTGATGCAAAAACATGTTTTTTATTTGGTTTGGGGACTCTTTGAAGTTAATATATAATGTCTTAAAAGTTAAATTTGGGACAAACCCATTTGTAATATATGAAGATAGCATATACAGAACATTTCTAGCATTTATATAAACTATTTTACAATCTTTTTTTTTTAGATTTATTTATTATGTATACAGTGTTCTGTCTGCTTGTATACCTGTCAGGACCCCAAATCTCATTATAGATGGTTGTGAGCCACCATGTGGTTGCTGGGAATTGAACTCAGGACCTTAGGAAGAGCAGCCAGTGCTCTTAACCTCTGAGCCATCTCTCCAGCCCCCTATATAAACTATTTTAAAATATACATTGGTATACACACATATATGCAGAAATTTCACTTTTTGAAAACAAATAACTGCAAACAGGAGAGTGGGCCCTGCACCTTGCCTAGACAGCACAGTAGAACTGACTCTGTCTGGGTATGAGAAGTTGAGTAAGACAGGATTATGAGCTCAGGAAAGCTGGCCTCACCCCTCATATGCCATGGTGTGGTGTGAACAAGGGAGAGATGCTCTGCCCCCTCACCCCCTGCCATCTGCAGCAGGCAGGTGAGCTGGCCCCAAGGTCATGACTAGGAGAGAGTTGGTCCTGTTCCTCACTGGCTGCAGTACTTGGGGCCCCAGCACCTCCTCTGGACTGTTCAGTAGAGCTGGCTTAGCACAACGGGTGCAGGGGAACCTGCCCAAGGACATGAGAGCAGGAGAGCTGATCCTGCCCCCTTGTGGGCTTCAGCACTGGTGAGCTACCCTGAGCAGTGCTGGAGAGCTTGTCCTGGTGGTGCAGGAGCAGGAAAGCTGGCAGGCAAACCAAATGAGCTACCTCCCAGGCCCTGATCCAGGGCTTTGAGTTGGCCCACCCCAACATCTATCTCATTTATGAACATGTGAATGAGCCAGTCCTGCAGAATCTCCATGACACAGGGCAACTAAAGGATATCCTAGAGGTTCCAGTATAGCTAGTGTAGCAGAAGGCAGAAGGCAGAAGCCTGGAACCAGACAATGACTCACTGCAAAGAACCTTTCAAGTAAAGATATGTGGGGGAAAGGTATACTATGAGACAAATTGGCACACACTGTGATACACTACACTTCCATGACTTGATTTTTTTTTAATATTCTAACTCATTTTGTTTTAATTTTGTCAGGAAGAGGTTGCAAGGTCAGATGGTAGATACAAAGGGGTGGGAAAATTAGGTAGATTGGGTGCTTGATATAAAATTCAATAAAGAATTAATAAAATGTTTAAAAAACAAATAATGTTATAATTGACAAGGATTGTCTCCTTTTTAAAAATCATTTATTGTATTTTTGAAGAGTACAATATAATTATATCATTTCTGTCTTTTCTATTTTCAGATATTTTTAAGAAGTCCTCCTTACTCCCTTTGATATTCACAACATCAAATTTTTATTATTATTTCATATATATATATATGTATGTACATACATTTCTAAATACGTAATACAGCCTTCTCAGTCTGTATAATGTTACTTTTATGTATGTTTTCAAGGTTGACCTCTTGGTGTTGGATAACCAATTGGTGAGGTCTTTCCTGCAAAAGACTTTTACTCTCATTCTCAACATCCCTTAGTTGCCTGCAGTGCTTTGAATAGGATTTATGTCTCTTAGCTATTACTGCTGTTGCCCTTGTTCAGTTCACAGATAACTTTGATTATTTTGTATCTGTTAAGACTTAATTGGGCATTTAGAATGTGTTCTGTATCAAATAAGGTTTTATGTGTGTGTTTCTGTTGGATGGAATACCAACTAGCTCTCTCTTAAAGACATTTGATGTTCAATATAATTTAACTCTGTCTTTTCTTTTGATTTTTGTCTGTAGAGGAGCTATCAAAAGATGAGAAAAGTTTACTGAATTGACCCTTATTTATTACTTCAGAACTCTCCTGACATTTTACCATCATTATTGTTAATTCTGTTAAATTGGAAGAACTGTATTTCATTTGAGTATTCTTAATTACAATTGTCCTAATTTATTGAATTTTCTCTTTACTAATTTTCAGTGCCTTGTTAAAAGTCACTTTCAGCTAGTTTGGATTTGAAATGTACCTTCTCCAATACCAGAATAATTAGAACAGTGTGCTTTTAATTTTTTTTTTCTGGGTTGGTGGATTGCATGTTCTCTTTAGTAACTCTCATCTGTTGGTGCCTTTGAAAGTAATATGTGTTTCTTAGAAAAAAAAATACAATGTTAGTATAGGTTTCTTCATCCAGGCTGTTTTGTTAGGTGTGTTGGAGCCATTGACCTTTACAATTGTTTATCAGCCCCTACCAACTGCTATAATTTTGACAGCTGTTTTTCTGGTTAGTGTTTATTCTTTGTTAATCCTCTATTGCTCCAATGGATTAGATTGGAAAGTGTGTTTATCACAATGGATGCCTTTGTCTCTCTCATTAGTGCAGCCATTTTTTAAATGAAATTTAGTCTTTCCTGTGACTCATGTTTGACATTGCTTTTGTTCCTCTTCTGTGCATAATGTTGCATTAAGCACCTTCTCTACTGCTGGCTTGGTGGAGCTAAGCTACCTTAATTCATACTTTTCTTGAAATATTCTTATTTTCCAATTAATTAAAATTTTATTCCTTTTTTGTGTGTATGGGAGATGTGCCTGTATGTATCTCTGTACCTCCATTTGTATAATGCATTTGGATGCCAGAAATGAGCCTTGGGTATCCTGAGACTGAAGTTCCAGATGGCGGTGAGCCAGAAATTTTGCACTAGGAATTCAACTTATATGCTTTGAAACAGCAGACAGTATTCTTATCTGCTGAGCCAACTCCTCTGTCCTTCATCATTAATGTTGAATGATAACTTTTTCTGCATATAACACTATCTCAATATAGAATTAGTTTCTTGATTTTTATCCCGGAGTTCTTAAGCATTGTGGTTATGCTCATTATTTTTTCTGATTGATATTTGAATGAAAAGTTTCCTCAACATTGTCCTCCATGCCCTATAGTCTTCTATTTAATTTATTCTATTGATAATGTTTTCCATGGTGTGTTTTCATTTGGCTCATCAAACTCTTAATATGTTAACATTTGCATTTGTTTTTGTTTTCTTCCAAACCTCAGTTTCTTCCCTGCATGTGTCTTCCATGTTACTGATTTTTCCAACCACGTACTGGTTTTCTTATTGATCTTGCTGACTTATTCTTTTACCTTAATGAGTTTGCTGTCCAGGTGCTGTATTGAATTCAGTTGCCTATGTGAATGCCCTTTCAATCCACTGATCATTTCTATAAGAAAACGCTGAACTTTTTGGGCAGCACCTAACTTATTTTCAGTTATGCTTGGATTCATTTGTTCCAGAGTTAAAGATTTTTAACTCTGGACACCCTCCCAGCCTGTTTCTTCATATATATATTGTGTATATTGCCACAGGCTATGTTAACTAGGACATTCCTCTGGAGTATGTGCAAATAATACTTGCAGATGTCTTAGCTTTACCAGTTGCTTGTACACAATGGTTCCAGACAGAATGAATCTGAAGTAGTTATCAGTCCTTCAAAAGTCCATCTTTTCTCCTTAACACCTTCTGTTTCTTGCATCAACTTCTCTATGATGCACACCAAAGCACATGTGTTCTTATTTATCCTCTCCCCACGAATACTTTCTCCTAAAGTTCAGTGATGCTATCACTAAAAACTACAGAATTGGTTAGGATGACTTATAATCATAAAAAGGAGCATAAAGAATGAGTCCAGTTGCACCCATTGTCTACACTATTTTGTGTACTTGTTTTAACTCCTACTTGTGGTAGTTGCAAGTCCAGAAGCTCCATTGCTTTCCTCCTAGTAAGCAGAGCCTAGGAAGTCAGTGGAGTTCAGTGAGTGCCCAGACAACTTCTAAGTATGTATATTGGGGGTGGGAGGCATTGTTAGAAGGGAACAAAGGGTGGCATAGAGTGATAATAAACATTCTTGGAAAGATCACTTACATTAGGCACTTTGATAGGCACTGTAAACAAATGTCCTTTTTTCTCAGTTACACTCTACATATAAAAAAATGCAACATGATGTCAGAAACCAGCTACAAAAGTATGCAAGCAATATAGACAGGAGTCCACCAGACCTCTGGAGAATGCTTTGTGTCTTTAATGCTATTAAGTGGACAGAATGTGACTTCACTAGTAAAGAATCTAATATTAACACTATTTAATATTATTAGTAATTTTAAATATTAACATATTTTAATGTCATTAATAATATTAAATGTTGGCATACTTTATGTTAATAATATTATTAATAATAAATATTGGCTACTTTATCGTTATTAATAATATAAAAATATTAATATTGTGCTAGCTAACCTGAAGTTAGAAAAGAAACAAAGAAAAACACATATCTGACTAATTTTATGTGCTGTTGATTTCATAGCACTGTGCTATATTTCTTATTACATATTACTGAAACTTTATCCAACATCTATCTTACCATATACAAATGAAATCATGTTGGGGACACCAGCATTCACAGCTACTTTCATAATACGTAATAGCCATAATTTCCCTGTGGGAAAATAAATCCTGTCAAAATATTAGAAATGGGGGGGGGGAAAGATGCCCATCTCTTTGACTAATCAAGTGGTAGAACTCCCAGGATAGGACATTTGGCCATTACTTTCATGAACTGAAGGACAGGGACCCATGCCAATTTCAGAGATACTCTCCTTTCCCATTGAATACAAAGGCATAGACCTAAAAGATAAATACCCTCCATGTGATCATAGAGGCCAACATGTTTATGCTATTCACAGAAACATGGACAATGGTGAAGATTTGGAGGGCTCCGTCTCTGTAGGGCTTGCAGACACTAAGCATGGGTTTGGCTTTGATTGAAGTGGACAGCTTTAGAGCAATGCAAGTCAAGAAGTGAAGCCATGAGATCACATTGGTACATGTTCTCTCTGGAAACTATTCACTGAATGTTTTGAGAAGGCAGTAATGGCGAAATCCGAAAAAAAAAATATTAAGTAGTATGTAGCATACAGATAGGAGAGATGATGGTGTAGACCATGGAAGAAGGAGTTGGGATCACCAAAAGTGCCATGTTGCTTCATATATATTGCATGGCAGAGTTGAAACACACTTATACGCAGTGGTGAGAGGGAAACCAGAAACGAGGATGGCCCCAAAAGTTCCAACAGATGAAACAATGGGAAGGACAAGATTGTTTTTAAAATGTGGAAATTTTACTCAATGGTTTCTCAAATATTTTCTTATTTTTCCTTATAAGCTCTACAATGCCTTACCATCTATAATTACATATCTTCCTGGACCACATCAAACAGTTTTCAGGAACTGGGAAAAACTGAAATTGATTGTTTCCTGTATGATAGACAATCACAGGAAAGATTGGAATCCTGCTGAGCCAAGAGACTTCATTGATGCTTTCCTTACAGAAATGACAAAGGTGAGGAAGATGGTGCCTGGGTCTTATTAGAAAAAAAAATGATGATTTACAAGTTTCCAGTTGATCTTGCATCATGTTGCCATATATTTAAGGGTATAACATTGTACTTATTGTACTACTAGATGAATTCCTATGCCCCTGGGCCAGCTGAAATTTTTCTGAGCATTATGGAAATTCTATCAGCATGATGCTCCAAGCTCTCAGAGGGCACTGAAACCCTTTGCAATGGCTCGTTCCTTCATCATCAGTGCCAAGCTTGTAGCACTTTCTCTCATCATCTGCTTCCATCTTTACCTCTCCTCTCTCTGGTTCTTTTGCTCTAGTCAGACTCCCTGCTAATAAGAATAATTCATGGTAATATTCCTCTCTCAAGTTAGTAACACATGCAAAGTCAATTTTAGCTTATCAATAATATGCACAGCTTATAAAATGAATATGCCATCATCTTTGTAGATCACTGATTAACACAATTTGGGAATATAAATCAGGAATAGTGTTTTATGAATGCATAATGCAGTATGCCAGGAATCCCACTAAAAGAACAAGGTTCAATGTTGCTTGGCATGAAGTGCTAAAACTGTCAGATATCGGACCTCTATGCCCCTCCTTGGACTTTGTCCTTACGTGAAGAAAATATGCACAAAGTAAAAGTAAGAGCTCTAGTTTTTGATGAGCTGGTCGAAGGCCAGTCCCTCTCCACATCTCAGTCCATCCTGAGTTTAACCTAATGCTGGAGTTTGACTCCAAAGTCTGGCATGGACCATTGCCTTCCTCTGACCCCATATCAAGATTCTCCAGTGACATAAAGGCCAGAAAGTAGTGGTTGTATGTTTGTGTTACTTATGCATATTATGACAATACACAGCAAAAACAACTTGAGAGATTGAAGTTTTATTTTGGTTCACAATTTCGGGGAGGTGGGGAACATTGATTCATTTTTCTTGAGAAGAAATGGCAGAGAAGCTTACTTAGCTCATGGTGGCAAAGGGTGTGGTGAAGCCTTCCCACCATGATGTAACAGGAATCAGAAGCAAAAGCACAGTCCAGAGCCTCGGTAGACCTTTGAGTACCTCTGCTGGTGATGGATCATCCAATGGACTCCACCTCCTAATCCTCCTGAACCCCCAAATGAGTTCCACCAAGTAGGAACTAAGCATTCCAAGCATGAGACTGTAGGAGATGTTTCAGATTCAGATCATAATGCTAATTGTCCTCAGTAGGCCTCTGACTAACCCACATTACTGCATCTGTCATAGACTCTGACACACTGGATTCCAGGTTCTTCCTCTGACAAAGTTTACAGTGCTAATGCCTGCCCACCCTCTTTTATTTAATTTTCCTGCCATAATTCAATAGAAGAAATATTTTATCTCTAGAGGAGGAGGCAAATTATTCACCATATGGAGTTCAGATATGAGACCATCAACATTGGCAGCAACATTAACAAATTGTTTCTTTCAGAGAAAGTTGTAAAGACAATACCACATTCTAAGGAACAACTGATATGTCTTGGTTATTCATGAAACTTCAAGTGGCAGGGAAAGCTTTCCCTGTTGTAGACTCCTTTTGTAAACTTTTATACTTTGTAAACCTTAAAGGCAGAAAAGTGTCCAAGCCCCTCTCCACAAACTTCCCTAAAAGCCCTAAAGGGCTATAATGGTCATTCCCAGCCCCAAGGAAGGAGACTAACCAGGCCCACCCTACAAGAAAAAAAAATCCCATCAATCCCTGAACAAAGAAACCCAGCCATTCCTGAGCTTGCCATAAAAACCTGCCCAATGTTGAGCACAAAAAATCCACCCTGAACAGGAAAACTCACCAATCCAATCCAAACCAAACCCTGAGCTCCCCCAAGGTCAGGAATTAAAATTCCAACAATTTTTACCCTGGAAATTTGCGTTCTGAAAAGCTCTGTCCCACAAGAAACTCTGTGTAAACTACTGTCTGCTCAGTTCCCTGCTGTTTCTCACCTGAGCAGAAGCAGCCATCTTTCTGGGTTTTGCCTTCCCAATAAATTTCTTGGATGAGGATTATTGTGTGTTGTGACTTTGTGATACTCCTTGTGTTACAAATACCAGGATACCTTTTCCTTCAGAGCTGCAACACTTAGTTCCCAAGAGGTTTTGACAATGAAAAATTAATGGGAGAATAGGACAGTCAGTGAACATGGAGATTTTATTTAATTTCTGTAGCGAGCAAAAACATTTGTTCACATACATACACACACACACACACACGTATATTACAGTCCATGGTCTAACTTGTCCAACAATGCTGTCTACCAATAGAAGTCCAAGAAACCATTAGTTGTTCACCCCATGGGCTATATGTCTCTGCTTATCTTCAGTATATGTCACAATCCTGGAAATGTAAGCTTTAAAGTCAATGAAGAAATTGCCTTCCCAGTGAGAATAAAAGCAAACAGGTAAAGAGGAAAAACTCTCTTCTTCCATGTCCTCTATATAGGCTGCTACCATAAGTTGTAGCCCAGATTTAAGATGGAATTTTACACCTCAAAGATCTGGTTAAATGGAGTCTTCCCACTTTAAATTATTTAATTAAAAAAAAACCCTCATGTGTATACCCAGCAACTTGGATTTTAGTTAATTTTAGATGTAGTCCAATTGACAACCAAGAATAAGCCTCGCAAGTGTTCTTCTCACTTTATAAAATTGAAGCAGAGAAATCTAAACTGAGAACTCTAGTTCATGCTGTGACTTAGTGATGTAACAGATACATGAATGGAAATGATTCTGTTTCCAATTATTTCCCATTTTAACAAGATTTTTCAAAACTATAGTCATAAGAAAACAATTCTCTTGATTTTGATCCACTCAAGAGCTTTTGATCAACCTGTAACAAAGGAAGAACAGCACTAACCAATGTGGTCAATATATATGTGTGCGTGTGTGTGTGTGTGTGTGTGTGTGTGTGTGTGTGTGTGTGTGTTTGAAATTTTGAAAGATTACTTCCCAATTTATTTTCCAGTTTCATGATCCTGTTCTTGAGATATTCACAAATCCTCTATATATACATGTTATGATTATGTAGCTTAGGAGGGTTTTTTGTTTTTGTTTTGTTTTGTTTTTGTGGGAAAAGTTGAAGAGTTTGGGCTTTCTCTGACTCTTTTGCCTCTATTTGGGACATTTGTTCTTCCTACTGGGTGGCTTTCATCTGATTCTGATATGAGGGCTTGGACTTAAACTTATTGTAACATCTTTTGCCATGTTTGGTTGATATCCTTGGGAGTCCTGGTCTTTTCTGAAAGGAAACTGAGCAGAAGTGGATCTGGGAGAGAGCAGAAATGAGAGAAAGGTGGAGAGAATAGAAAATTCCGTCAGGATGTAATGTATAAGAGAATAATTAAAGAAATAAATAAATAGCAGGTCCTCAAAGAAAAAGAAAATACGCACTGTCTTTTCTAGTACCCAGACAAGACTTCTACAAGTTTCAATGAAGAAAACCTCATCTGCAGCACTCTGGACTTCTTACTTGCCGGAACAGAGACAACATCCACGACAATGCGCTGGGCTCTGCTCTTCCTGACTCTAAACCCAGACATGCAAGGTAATTGTGTGCTGAATGCACTAGACAAAGCAAAATGGTGCTTCTGAATGTTGTTGTTTCTATGGGGCCAAAAGCTAGAATGATGAAGTGGAATAGCTGTGAGATGAGGTGTTTTGGGAACTGGCCATGGCCTTCACATATTCTGTCAGGATTCTGATGAGCCGTGGGTGCAGAGTTTGTTTATGAAGCAAATCCAATTTTACACTATGAAGGATCTTCAGTTCTTGGGGAAAACTGTCATTGTGTTAGGCTCCAGCAAAAAGTGACACTGTCCCATGGAAATCCAATTAGCCCATTCTTTGTTTGCATAACCACCACCCTGTTTTGCCCTGGATATCACCAAGATGCTTCAGTCTGATAACTGGCATCCTATGGATGTGACCTCTGTCTGTCCAGACTCAACCACATCCATTTTTCATGGCGCCTCCCTGTAGATGCTGGTGTGTCTTCCTGCACCCCAGCTCCCTATACAATGACTCAGAGAACTTATATTTTATAAATAAATACCTAGGCCATAAGCTTTGGATAATTCCCTGACTAGCTTATACATTAATTACACATTTATCTATCTTACATATGTCATTTTGTTTGTTCTCTCACCGCGAATTTCATGAGAGCAACTTTCTCAGAATCCAGGACAAATCTCCCTCACTTCACTGTCCTAGAGTTCTCTCTCAGTGTCAGAGCTTCACTCGATATTTCTGACCTCAGCTAACAGGCTAATCAGCATTTATTGAAGGTCTTGCTTCCATACAAATAAAAGAGAACCCTTCTACACCTCCCTACATTACATTTTCTCCATTGGCATTGCCTTTATTCTTAGCTCTATATGCGCTATTTGGCTTTCTCTCTACCACAAATGTACTACTTCAATTTCTTGGCTTTTGAGAAGAATCTTCTCAGACACTAACCCCTTAGATGTTTTAAATTCTCCTAAAATTTTCCTGAGAAGTTGAGGCCATTCTCTCCATCAAGAGATGTAACAGAGTGATGCATTCAAGGTTTTTCCACACTGTATATGTCTCAACAGGGATTTTCCTGTCTACCCATCCCATTGTTTTATTCCCACACCACACATTAGAGAAGAGCTTATCAGGTGGGCGATGTGAGCGTTTCTTATGTCATGAACCATTTTTCAAATTGTGGTAAAAGCTTATGTGTGAAGCTTATGTGTAAAGGCACTGTGACACGTTCAAAGTAATTCTTTTGTTCTCCTTTGTCCACATCCTTGCAAGCATGGGCTGTCACTTGAGATGTTTATCTCAGCCATTCTGACAGGTGTGAAGTGGAATCTCAGAGTCATTTTTGATTCGCATTTCCCCAATGACTAAGGAAGTTCAATGTGTCTTTAAGTGCTTCTCAGACCTTTGAGATTACTCTGTTGAAAATTCTGTTTATTTCTGTGCACCATTTTTAATTGGGGTATTTTGTTTATAAGTGTTTGATTTCTTGAGCTCCTTATATATTTTGAATATTAGCTCTTTGTCAGGTATAGAGTTGGTGAAGGTCTTTTCGCAATCTGTAGGCTGTCATTTCATTCTATTGACAGAATCCTCTGCCTTACAGAAGCTTTTCAGTTTCTAGAGGTCCCGTTTATTAATTGTTGATCTTAAGGACTGAGCTGTTTTCTGTTTAGGAAGTTGTCTCCTGTTCTCTTCTTTCTCTTCTAATAGATTTAGTGTATCTGGTGTTATATTGAGGTCTTGGACTTGGATTTGAGTTCTGTGCAGGTAGATACATATGGATCTATTTTTCTACATGTAGACATCAAATAAGAATAGCAACATTTGTTGGTGGTGCTATCTTTTCTCCATTGATGGTTTCGGTTCCTTTGTCAAATTCAAGTATGCATAGATATGTGGGCTTATTTCTAGGGCTTCTGTTTGATTCCATCGATTGCTACAGATTAGAGAAGAGTCTGTTTCTATGCCAGTAAAATGCAGGGGTTTTTTTGGTTTTTTTTAATTTTTTTATTAATTACACTTTATTCACTTTGTATCCCCCCATAAGCCCCTCTCTCCTCCCCTCCTGATCCCCACCTCCCACTGCCTTCTTCACGCATGCCCCTCCCCAAGTCCACTGATAGGGGAGGTCCTACTCTCCTTTCTTCTGATCTCAGTCTATCAGGTCTCATCAGGAGTGGCTGCATTGTCATCTTCTGTGGCCTGGTAAGGCTGCTCCCCCCTCAGAGGGAGGTGATCAAAGAGCAGGCCATCAGATTATGTCAGAGGCAGTCCCTCTTCCCATTACTATGTAACCCACTTGGACACTAAACTGCCATGGGCTACATCTGTGCAGGGGTTCTAGGTTATCTCCATGCATGGTACTTGGTTGGAGTATGAGTCTCTGGGAAGACCCCTGTGTTCAAATTTTCTGGTTCTGTTGCTCTCCTTGTGGAGTTCCTGTTCTCTCCAGATCTTACTATTTCCCACTTCTAACATAAGAAAAATGCAGTTTTTACAGTTGTTCTTCAGTGTAGTTGAACTCAGGGATGGAGATACCACCAGAAATTATTTTATTGTATAGGATTGTTTTAGCTATTCTGGGTTTTTTTATTTTTCCATATGAAGTTTAGAATTATTCTTTCAAAGTCTGTACAGAAAATTGTTGGTATTTTGATAAGGACTGCATTGAATCTGTAGATTACTTTTGATAAGGTGTCCATTTTTACTATGTTAATTCTATGGATCCAGGAGCATGTAATGTCTTTTCATCTTCTGATATCTTCTTTGGTTTCTTTCTTCAGAGACTTGAAGTTCTTGTCATACAGGTCTTTCACTTTCTTGGTAAGAGTTACACCAAGATACTTTATATTATTTGTGGCTATTGTGAAGGGTGTAGTTTCCATAATTTCTTTCTCAGCCCATTTATCCTCTGTGCACAAAAGGACTACTGGTACTTTTTAAATTAATCTTGTATCCAGACACTTTGCTAAAGGTGTTTTTCAGATATAGGAATTCTCCAGTAGAACTTTTGAGGTCACTTTTATATACTATCACATCAATTGCAAATATTGAAACTTTTACTTCTTCCTTCCCAATTTGTGTCCTCTTGATGTCCTTTAGTTGCCTTATTGTTATAGCTAGAATTTTAAGTACTATATTGAAAAAGTAGATAGAAAGGGAATAACGTCTTGTCTCCGATTTTAATGGAACTGCTTTGAGTTTCTCTCCATTTAACTTGATCTTGGTTATCCACTTGCTGTATAAAGCCTTTAATATGTTTAATATGTTTAGGTATGTGCCTTGTATCCATGATCTCACCAAGACTTTCATCATGAAATTGTGTTGCATATTGTCAAAAGCTTTTTCTGCATCTAATGAGATAATCATGTAACTTTTCTCTTTGAGTTTCTTTATACGGTAGATGGATTTTCCATAGGTTGAACCATCTCTGCATCCCTGGTATGAAGCCCACTTGATCATGGATGATGTATTTGACGTGTTCTTGGAATAAGTTTGCAAGTATTTTATTGAGTATTTTTGTATTGGTGTTCATGAGTGAAATTGGTCTGCAACTCTCTTTCTTTGTTGAGATTTTGTGTGGTTTAGGTATCAGAGTGATTGTGGCTTCATAGGATGAGTTTGACAATGTTTCTTCAGTTTCTATTTTGTGGAATAGTTTGAGGAACACTAGTTTTAGATCTTCTTTGAATCTCTGGCAGAGTTCTGTGAGAAAACCATTTAGTCCTGAGATTTTTTTTTGGAAGACTTCTGATGACTACTTCTATTTCCTTAGGGGTTCTAGGTCTTTAAACTGTTTGCCTGATCTTGATTCAAATTTGGTAGATGAAAGCTATCAAGAAAATTGTCCATTTCCTTTAGATTTACCAATTTTGTGGAATAAAGGCTTTTGAAGCAAGACCTAATGATTTTTAAATTTCCTCATTATCTATTGTTAAGTCCCCCTTTTCATTTTTATTCTGATAATTTGGGTACTCTCCCTCTGCCTTTTAGTTAGTTTGGCTAAGGGTCTGTCTATCTTGTTGATTTTCTCAAAGAATCAGTTATTGGTTTCATGGATTTTTTTCTCTTTGTTCCATGGAATTTTTTTCTCTCTTTGTTCCAATTTATAGATTTCAACCCCGAGTTTGATTGTTTTCTGTGTTGGCTTCTTTCTGTTCAAGAGCTTTCTGGTATGCTGCTAAATTACTAGTATGAGCTCTATCCAATTCCTTTATGAAGGCAGTTAATGCTATGAACTTTCCTCTTAGCACTATTTTTCATTGTGTTCCATAAGTTTGGGTATGCTGTGCCTTCATTTTCATTGAATATTAGGAAGTCTTTCATTTCTTTTCCTTTATTTCTTCCCTGACCCAGTGTTCACTGAGTAGAGAGTTGTTTGGTTTCCATGAGTCTATAGACTTTCTGTTGTTTCTGTTATTGTTGTGTTCCAGCTTTAATCCATGGTTGTCTGAAAAGATGCAGGGGTTTATTTCAATCTTCTTATATCTGTTGAGGTTTGCTTTATGACCTAGTATATGGTTAGTTTTGGAGATGTTTCCATGAGGTGCTGAGAAGTTGTGTTCTCTTTTGTTTGGGTGAAATGTTCTGTAGGTGTCTGTTAGGTCCATTTGATTCATGATGTCCATCATTTTTATTATTTCCCCATTTAGTTTCTGTCTTGATGAACTGTCCATTGCAGTGAATGGGTATTGAAATATCCCACTATTAATATGTGGAGTTCGATATGTCATTGATGATTTAGTAGTTTCCTTTATGAATGTGGTACCCTTGCATTTGAGGCATAGATATTCATAATTGAGACATTGTCTTGGTGGATTTTTCATTTGATGAGTATGAAGGGTCTTTCTCCATCTCTTTTGATTAATTTTAGTTGAAAGTTTATATTATTAGATTCTAGAATATCTACTCTAGCTTGTTTCGTGGGTCCCATTTGCTTGGAAAACCTTTTTCCATCCTTTTACTCTGAGGTAACAGTGTCTGTCTTTATTGCTGAGGTGTATTCCTTGTATGCAGCAGAATGATAGGTCTTGTTTTTACATCCAATCTGTTAACCCATGTTTTTTTTTATTGGAAGTTAATGACTTTGATGTTGAGAGATATTAATGACCAGTGGTTGTTACTTCTTGTTATTTTGGTGTAGAAGATGGGCAGCTTAGGTCTCATATGGGTCATATAACAAAGAAAGTGGGAACTGCATAGGACATGGACTCACTTGCTGGCATTTTGGTCACTTTCCCCTGGTGGGACTACCTTATGAGATCACTGGGGAAGAGGACTTGCTCAGTCTTCATGATGCAGCTTGATGTGGTCGGGTGGATGAGAAAGGGAGTTCCCCTTTGCTGAGGAATAGGAATAGGAGAGGGAAAAGAGTAGGGAGGGAAAGAAGGAAGTGAGTGAATGGATGGAAGGAGGAATGGACCTACAACCAGGAGGTAAAGTGAATAAAAAACAAATAAATAATAAAAAAAAACTTGAATAGAGATAGGAACCTAAGTGTATCAATAGATATTAAATTTCAGTTTCAATTGAAATTCCTTGGCAATTACCTCCACAGTTACATGAACATAGTTAACAAATACTGATTTGTACACTTAAAGGTGCTATGTTTATCTGCAGTTAGTAGAACACACAATCAAAATTCCACAAGGAATGTAGGAAATTATGTTTTAGCTAGACAACAGTGAATTCTCTATTATGATAGAAAGTGGGGAAACCATATGGTGGACATCTAGGAGTTATGTTTTCTAAGCCATTCAATGAAAAGAACTTATTTCCAGAAGACTAAATGGGTACTGCTAGGAGTTCGGCTAAGCTGACAGATTTTCACAGCAGTTCTTTGAGGAGATGAACATGGTGTTTCTTTGTAAATAGGACACTGGGTGAAATGTAAAAGATAAAGTCTTGGAGACAACTGTTCTGTCTTCAGGAGAAAATACTAACCTTTGAAGCTGATAGCATCCCCTTTTTTTTCTTGCAGAGAAAGTACAGGCTGAGATTGATAAAGTGATTGGCCATGACAGGCAGCCAAGCACAGACGACCGAGAGTCCATGCCCTACACCAATGCTGTCATCCATGAGGTGCTGAGGATGAGCAACACCGTCCCCTTGAGTGTTCCCAGGGAACTAACTGCTGATAGCACATTCGCTGGTTTCCACCTGCCAAAGGTAACTTTACACTCTGAGCTTCTGATCTCCAGTCCATCCATGCCATTATCTGAAGAATCCAAAATAAAAGATATATATATATATATATATATATATATATATATATATATATATATATATATATATATCATTAAAATTGGAAGAAAGAGAAAAGTGAGTGTTCTTCCAATGTGTGTAAATGGTATTTATGTATACGGTAGGGAGTACAGAAAGGAAGATTCCTTGGTCAGATTTGCTCGGTCAAAGTTGGTTTTATTTGCCGAAGAAAATCTTGGGAGTCAGTATGTTTTTTCCATATGCATGCTCATAGGTGGTTTCCAGCTTTTCATTACTCTCCCATTGTTGAGAACTTTCTATCTCACAAAGAAAAACAATTCAAAGTGAAATATTAATTATTAAAAAGAGAGAGAGATATTTAACAAGCAAATGTGCTGAAAATGCTTATCTATTTCAAAATGTCTTAATAGCCTCTGTACAAGTATTGATCCCCACTTTATACATTAGAAAGTTGAGACTTTGTGAAACAAGCTGGCATAAGATTTCTCAACTACAATATTCAACGCCATAAGATTTGGAATCTGGAACTAAATCTGTTCTGATTGTTTGGAATGTGAATGACTTACTATATTAGACACTGAAAGGCTACCCTAATTTGTTTCTCCATGGATACCTCTTGCATTCCCTCTGTTTGCAGACCATATGCAGACCCCAGCTTAGGAGCTAGTCAGGGTTTCTACAGAAAGTACACTGACCACATCACAATTTTTCTGTTCAAGACACAATTATAACTCTTTCCATTCTTTCTCTACATTATGCACTTAAGAAAATCATACATTTCTTGGCAGTGACAAAATGAATGTCTGAGATTTTTGTTTAGCATGGCAGCAAGTTGATACACAGTAGATCAGTATTCATGATCTTGGCCAAGAAGCAAGAAGAAAGTCTGCAACAGATTATCTTCCCAACCCATTTATTCCATCCAATTCTTCAGAGAGAAGGATGGTATCACAAATTCAACAAAAGTCTCCTGCCCTTACAAACAGATCTTCTGAAAAGTCTTCACAATTACTATCACTGGTGTTCTGTTGTGATCGACTATACAATTACCAGTAACCAGAGTACAGAATCAAGGTAAACTACCAGAGATAGTCTCTAGATTTGTAACACATTTTTTGTAGATGCTCAGAATGTGCTGTTCTCCAGGAATGTCTTTAGAGTTGGAACCTGATGAGTCTACCCTGAGTCATGCATTTAACCCCCAGAAGAGACCACTTCAACATATCTCTTCTGACATGGATTGTTGATGTCCACTCTAAGGGTGGTTCTAGATACTGGCATTCTAACTGGATAATATATGACAAGGCAAAGAGCCATGGCTTGGACTTAGTTCCAGAAGTTTATGCATCTCTGCCTACTGTGTTAATCTAAGAAAATTAATTTCTCATAGCATTGACTTCTACATGAGTATGATGCTATAAAACCCACAGAAAAAATCAGGTATAGTCCTCACAGGAAGAGAAGTCATACCTGCAGAGATTACCACTCCATATGGCAGTTATAATTTTTGTTGTTTACAGACCTATAGTGAGAATTTTGGCTTCTTTAAAAACAGAGAAGTGTTACAAGAATATATTTTTTGTTTCAGTCCTAGGTGAGGTTGCTTGAGATTATGCACAGCAGCTAACTATAGTTTGCCTCATGCTCTGACAGAAGGGTGATGTTTTTTTTAGCTGAAGATAGTTTACATTTGGAATTCTGAGGACTTTTAAGAGGGTAGGTAAGTGCTAGAGCCCCCAGGCAGAGCAGGGAAGTCTTGGAGGAGGCTGTACATGGCACCAGTATCAAAAAATGCTAAAAGAATCTATTTCAAAACAATGGGCTAATCTCAAACAACTGTGCTGCCAGAGATAGAGGAGGAGTGGCCTGGGTGACAAAATCACACTCAAATTTCCCAGTAACCATGTTGCACATATCTGCTATTGGTGCAGGTCATGGTTATGATGAAATCATAGATCTGAGGAGTTTTAAAGAGGCCATGATTTCTTTTTTTTTCCTAATTTGTGTTTTTTTTTGTTTGTTTGTTTTTAATTACACTTTATTCATTTTGTATCCCCCGATAAGCCCCTCCCTCCTGCCCTCCCAATCCCACCCTCCCTCCCCTTTCTGCATGCATGCCACTCCCCAAATCCACTGATAGGGGAGGTTCTCCTCTCCTTTCTGATCTTAGTCTATCAGTTCTCATCAAAAGTGGCTGCATTGCCCTCTACTGTGGCCAGGTAAGGCTGCTCCCCCCTCAGGGGGAGGTGATCAAAGAGCAGGCCAATCAGATTATGTCAGAGGCAGTCCCTCTTCCCATTACTATGGAACCCACTTGGACACTGAACTGCCATAGGCTACATCTGTGCAGGGGTTCTAGGTTATTCCATGAATAGTCCTTGGTTGGAGTATGAGTCTCTGGGAAGTTCCCTGTGTTCAAATTTTCTTGTTCTGTTGCTCTCCTTGTGGAGACCCTGTCCTCTCCAGCTCTTACTATTTCCCACTTCTTACATAAAATTCCATTCACTCAGCCCAACAGTTGGCCATCAGGCTAAGCATCTGCTTTGATAGTCTGCAGGGCAGAGGCTTTCAGAGGCCCTCTGTGGTAGGTTCCAAGTTTATTTCCTGTTTTCTTCTTCTAGCTTTCAGAAGCCCTCTGTAGAAGGTTCCTAGGTTGTTTCCTGTTTTCTTCTTCTTCTAATGTCCATCCTCTTTGCCTTTCAGGATGGTGATGGAACATTTTAGTTAGGGTGCTCTCTTTTGTTTAGTTTGTTTAGATGTACAGATTTTAGTGGGTTTGTCCTATGTTGTATGTCTATATGAGTGAGTATATACCGTGTGTGTCTTTTTGCTTCTGGGACAACTCACTCAGGATGATCCTTTCCAGGTCCCACCATTTACCTGCAAATTTCATGATTTCCTTATTTTTCATTGCTGAGTAATATTCCATTGTGTAGATGTACCACAGTTTCTGTATCCATTCTTCAGTTGAAGGGCATCTGGGTTGTTTCCATCTTCTGTCTATTACAAATAAAGCTGCTACAAACATGGTTGAGCAAATGTCCTTTTTGTGTACTTGAGCATCTTTTGGATATATGCCTAGGAGTGGTATGGCTGGATCTTGGGGAACCACTATTGCTAGATGTCTGAGAAGGCGCCAGATTGATTTCCAGAGTGGTTGTACATGTTTAAATTCCCACCAGCAGTAGGGAAGGGTTCCCCTTTCTCCACAACCTCTCCAGCATGTGTTGTCACTTGAGTTTTTTATCTTGGCCATTCTGATGGGTGTAAGGTGAAATCTCAGGGTTGTTTTGATTTGCATTTCCCTAATGGCTAATGAGGTTGAGCATTTCTTTAAGTGTTTCTCTGCCATTCGATATTCCTCTACAGAGAATTCTCTCTTTAGCTCTGTTCCCCATTTTTTAAGTGGATTACTTGGTTTGTTGCTTTTCAGCTTCTTTAGTTATTTATATATACTGGATATTAGCCCTCTGTCAGATAAAGGGTTAGTGAAGATTGTTTCCCAATCTGTAGACAGTCGCTATGTTTTGATGACGGTGTCCTTGCTTTGCAGAAGCTTTTCAATTTCATGAGGTCCAATTTATTGATTGTTGCTCTTAGAGCCTGTGCTGTTGGTGTTCTGTTCAGGAAGTTTTCTCCTGTACCAATGAGTTCTAGGGTATTCCCCACGTTTTTTTCTAGCCGATTTAATGTGTCTGGTTTTATGTTGAGGTCTTTGATCCACTTGGACTGCAGTTTTGTGCAGGGTGATAAGTATGGATCTATTTGCATTTTTCTACATGTAGACACCCAGTTGGACCAGCACCATTTGTTGAAGATGTTATCTTTTTTCCATTGTATGGTTTTGGTGTCTTTGTCGAAGATCAGGTGTCCATAAGTGTGTGGCTTTATTTCTGGGTCCTCTCTTCGGTTCCATTGATCCACCATTTTGTTTCTATTTGTAGCTATTGTGAAGGCTGTTGTTTCCCTAATTTCTTTCTCAGCCCTTTTGTCTTTTCTATACAGGAGGGCTACTGATTTTTGGAGTTAATTTTGTATCCTCCCACTTTGCTGAAGGTGTTTATCAGCTTTAGGAGTTCCCTGATAGAGTTTTTAGGGTCACTCACTTACACTATCATATCATCTGCGAATTGTGATAATTTGACTTCTTCATTTCCCATCTGTATCCCCTTGATCTCCTTCAACTCTCTTATTGCTCTAGCAAGGACTTCCAGAACTATGTTGAAGAGATATGGAGAGAGTGGGCAGCCTTGTCTTGTCCCTGATTTCAGTGGGATTGCTTTAAGTTTCTCCCCATTCAGTTTGATGTAGGCTATAGGTTTGCTATAGGCTATAGGCTTTACTATGTTTAGATATGTGCCTTGTATCCCTGATCTCTCCAGTACTTTAAACATGAATGATGTTGGATTTTGTCAAATGCTTTTTCAGCATCTAGGGAGATTATCATGTTTTTTTCTTTCAATTTGTCAATATGGTGGATCACATTGATGGATTTCCGTATATTGAACAACCCCAGCATACCTGGGATGAAGCCTACTTGGTCATGGTGGATAATATCTTTTATGTGTTCTTGTATTTGGTTTACGAGTATTCTGTTGAGTATTTTTGTATCAATGTTCATAAGGGAGATTGGCCTGGAGTTCTCTTTTTTTGCTGGGTCTTTGTGAGGCTTAGGTACCAAGGTGACTGTGGCTTCATAGAATGAGTTTGGTAATGTTCCTTCTGTTTCGATTTTGTGGAATAGTTTGAAGAGAACTGGAGTTAGCTCTTTTTTGAATGTCTGGTAGATTTCTGCACTGAAACCATCAGGTCCTGGGCTTTTTTGGATGGAGGACTTTCGATGAGTGCTTCTATTTCCTTGGGGGATATAGGACTATTTAATTAATTTACCTTGCCCCATTTTAGCTTTGGTAAGTGGAATTGATCAAGAAAATTGCCCATTT